ATTCCAAACACTCACAATGTACAAAACACATGCACTGAAAAAATTAGCAAGTACACAGAACTTGCCCAGGAAATCAGGCATCTGTGGAGGATGGATAGGGTGCTTATTGTACCTGTCGTTCTCTCCTGTATAGGTGTGATACCACACACGCTACACAAAAGCCTGGGAACATTACAATTGAGTAGAAATACATACATCACACTACAGAAGGCCACTATATTGAATATATGCCACATTGTTAGGAAATTCCTGAATACAGTCACAGACACACACATTTAATTTTAGTTTTGTTTTGGTTGCTATGCCTTGACTCTGGTCCGGCATAGTACACAGCCACCGGTGTGTACCGAGTATAACCCACTAAACCCAACATAATAATAATAATAATAAGTACCGTGGGTGATCAGTTAACGAACAGATCGGATAACGAACAATTCGGACAATGAACACTTCACTGAACAAACACAAGAAGAAGGGACGTAAATAACGAATACCAATTGGTCTTCCTTTGTCTTCAGGCAACAATTCGAAACTTTTCAGAGTGCGGGAGACGTCGACATCGACGTTCTACCCAGTATATACTGATCGGATAGTATTCCCCCGAACTTTGAAACTCTCCCTTGTAATTGCAGCCTTTTATATTTCTGACAGAAACAATTCTTTTATGTTTTCTTTTGAAAATGCAGATTTATGCCGATATCTGCTATTAAACATCTTTTGAAGAAGTGGGAGGATGTCAGAACAACGGTCTTAAAATGGCATCCAAACCAGATTGAGGTTAATAGACCTAGAGATCTCTACAATTACAATGCTATTAATGAAAAATCATGAAGAAGACAGAAAAGCAGTCGACATTGGACAGATTCTTTAACCCCCCACAAACGGAAAAAACATGACTAATAAAAATGCAAGACCATGTATATATGTATTTGTATTATTACATGTGAATAAATGTAGTAAGAAAGTATATATTTTTTATTTTTTTTGGGGGGTCTCCAGAACAAATTAATCAAATTCCCATAGAAACCTATGGTAAATCAATAATCAGTTAACAAACAATTCGGATAGTGAACAAAGTCTTGGAACGGATTATGTTCATTAACCGATCACCCACTGTATATATACATAATTATTATTACTAATTATATAATTGCCTGTATATATATATATATATATATTTTATATTATATTTATTTATTTATTTATTTTTATTTTCAGATTTGTTTGCAGATTTAAGTTTTAGTGATTCTACATCTGATAATGATGATAATCTTGAAATTATAGAAAATAAACAAGGTGAATCAAAAAATGAAAAAATATTACATCCATCTCTATATGATAAAGTTATTAAAACAGATGGGAATAATTGTAATGATTTTGTTAGTTCTGATGATGACTTGAATTTTGAACCTTATGTTCCTTCAGTAATTGATAGAAAGTTTTCTGTTGATGAAAATCAGTTTAAAAGACCTCCATTAAACAGAAGATCTGTGTCATTAGATATATCTAGTCCAATAAAACATACAACTGTTAATGAAGCTACAAATTCTAACTCTAAAGAAAACTCAGAAAATTTATCATCAAAACCTAATACAAATCTTTTAGTCCCTGACATAAAAAAGAATTCTTCAGAAAGTGAATGGGACAGTGAAGATTCCTATAACAGCAATGATAATAAAAATCTTAAAAATTCAAAAACAGAAGATTGTGTTGATGCTGTAACACAGAATACTAATAATACAGATAAAGAATTAAATATGTTAGAATCAAAGAAAGTAATTTTATCTGAAAATGAAAATTATGTTGAACCAGAATCAATTAATCCTGCAGATTTAAAAGATCAGACATTGGAAAAATCTAACTCTTTAAACAGTGATAAAGATTTTTCAAGCAGTGAAAACTCTAAAAATGTTAACTCTGGTCAGGTAATTAAAGAGCTCTTTTTATTTCATAATTATATTCGTTACGTACAAAACAAGTAGATTGATTATATATATATATATATATATATATATATGTGTGTGTGTGTGTGTGTGTGTGTGTATACATATACATTTCAACTTTTAAATTCATATGGTTGTTTTTAGACAGATCATTGGAGTACATTAGGCAGATTTGGAACAATGCAAGGAAGAGATGAAATGTGGGAAAATAATGCTAAAATTATCAAAAATTCTGGTAAGTAAAAAAAAATATATTTTTGATTTATATTTTTAAGAAATTAATTATTTTATATCAATGACAGTATTTCCATAAATATTAATAACACAAAATTTTTATTTTTTCATTAATTAACATTTGAAATTAATATGAAAACAAGTTGGTGGATTTATTTTATAAACTATCTAAGAACTTTCAATGAATGTAGAATAAAAATTATACTTTATAATTAATTTCATATTAAAAGAGAACAAACTAAATCATAAATTCTGAAAAAGTAATATAAAAATTTAGTTTTATAAGCATTTCCTCCATCTTCTCTAAGATCAACATTATTAATTATTGATGGTTTATCAGAATAACAAGTTTGAAATGAAAAATTTTAAATAATATTTTATATACATAATCTCAAATGTTGTAAAATGGTAATTATGATATCATATTTTAAAATTCTAATGTACTAAATTAAATAAACAATTTTTGAATTTTGACGAGCCATAGCAATGATAATACTCACTCAAATGAATATATCAGAATATTTTAATCTTAATCCTAAATGAAATGTTTAAAATATGCTTTTAGTTTAATAATCTTAAGAGTAAATTTCAAATTAAATTTGTACTATATTTGACATCTATGTCTCTATTTAACTCTTATTAGATATGTTTTATTCAGGTTCATTTGAAACACATTATTCTAACTCAAAAATTGTTTTATTAACATTACATTGTGAAATTTATTAATAGAAATGATTTTAACCAACAAAGTAATAAGAGAAGACCAATGAAAATATTATCTCTTCTACTGTTCTAATGATTTGAGATTAACACTAACTGACCTCTCTGAGATCAACACAGTTTTAAGAAAAGAACTTTTTGGAACTTTTTTAAAATTATTTTTGTGTTTTTTCTTCTCATCTCTCTATTGGTTTTAGATGTTACTCTTTTAAAGATTTGGATAATCAGTTATTATTTAGTCAATTTTTAATATATCTTTCTTTAGATATGTTTGATTTGATTAATTAACCTTCCATTAGACACACCTCTGAAAGTAACAAAGCTGAGCTCAAGTATCTGATAAATAACCTTTCTGATTTCTTTGCACATAACATGCTATTCTTTATATTCATGCTATACATGAATATAAGGGTATAATAAATGAACTATGTAAACAACACATTTTTGTGTTAAATTTTATGATCTTATATACCATTTCTGATGATCAGCTATTATATATACTCATAAATAAAGATCATATTGTAATCTATAACTAATGTGTTTAATATCCTTCAGAGGCTAGCAGATATTACAACAATTTTAAAAGACTAAGCTGTACATTCCATAATAGAATATAATCATTATTCAGCTTTATTTAGCATTATGATTTAGTTTTTCATACAAACAGTAATGTTTAAATCATCTAATTTTTCTTTTCTAAAGTTCATTTGTTGTTCCATATTTCAAGGCATCTAAATGTTATTGTTGGAATACATATGAATAAATTGTAATAAAATATGTGTTAATATTATTACAGAGTGTTATGTTATTGGAAATTATCTGAATGATCATTGTCAGTTGTGTATATTTAAATATATATATAATTATAAAATTAAGGATTTATACAGAATTATATAATTTAATAAATCAATTATTATTTTAAATAGGGTTTGGAATTTAATCAAACCTTGATTTATAAAATAAATTTTATGTATNAAAGACACAAAAATGTAACTCTCTTATTCAATACATAATAAAATTGTTTTCATTTTATTTCAATATTTTATAGTTTAGTTATTTAAAATATATTTTTTGTAAATATAAAAGACACAAAAATGTAACTCTCTTATTCAATACATAATAAAATTGTTTTCATTTTATTTCAATATTTTATAATTTATTTATTTAAAATATATTTTTTATTTATTAAACTTACTACCAATTTTTCTTAGGTGAATTAGGTGATAATCTTAGCAAAAATGATGTATCAAATGTTAAAGATGAAGATGAAATTGACAATATTAATGAAAATGAAAAAGTTAAAGTTGCATTGTGTGATGATGATAAAATTAGCATTAATGTAGATAAAAAAGAAGTTGAAATTGATAAAGTTGAACTGAACAAAGCAGAAAATAAAATAACAGATCTTGAAGATGAATCTCAACATTCAGAACAAAATAAACAAGAAGAAAAATTAGATGATTTAAATCATTTCAAAGAGGAGGAAAAGTCTGTTGTTTTTAGTGAAAATAGCAAAAGTTTTGAAATAGAATCTGAAATAGATTTCGTCACCAACTTAGAAGAGGAAATTTTGGAATCAAATTTAATTTTAGAACAAAATGAAATGAAGTCTTCTGACTTTCAAAACAACAAAGAGGATTTTGAGAACCCTTCATTGTGTGATAATGATCTTATTGAAATGGAGTTAACAAAGGCAGAATTAGATGAGAATAAAACTATTAAAGAATTGAGTAATAAAGATAATATTGAAATTCTTGAAGAAAAACTGGAGATTAATATTCTTAATTCAGACGAATTTAAAGAAACAGAAAAAGTTTTTTCAGATAGAGACATTTATGATGATGAAAATTTTGGATCAGAATTTGATTTAAATGTGATTAAGCAAGATAAAGAGAGTGACTTTTTAATTTCACAAAAAGATAGAGACAGAAAACAACCTTCTGATATAGATGAATTAAATTATAATGAAGCATCCTTTTTATATGACATTGAATATGATGACAAAACAAAATTAGAATTAAAAATAACAGATAACATAAATGAAAATATATGTACAGGAGAAAGAAAATTATCAACAGATATAAATAAAAGCATAGATTCTGAAATGATAATTAAATTAGATAATGAAATAAAAAATGACAGTTCAACATTTGTAACTAATGGAACAATGGCAATTGAGAAACAAAAAGGTCTATCAGATTTAGAAGAAAAGTCCAATTCTAGTAATTTCAGTATTGAAATAAGTAATGATGAAAATCAAGAAAATAAAACAGATAAAGAAGTAATATTAAATATACCTGATGATGATATAGAAAAATGTGATGATAATGCTGATATTGGATTTTCCACAAGTTTAAATAACCATAATTCTAGTGAAATAAATTCTCATGAAAATGTTAGTAATAATGTTAACCAGTTTAACAAAGTTATTAAAATGTGTGAATTAAATGAAAGAGATGATGTCAGAATGTCTTCTTTTGATGATGAACATAATTCTGAGATTGATAACAGTCATAGTTTATTAAGTACAAATGATAACTCCTTTAATAAATATATAAGTCATGAAATTACAAATAAAGCTTTGCCTTATTTAAGTCTTTTAGAAACACAAAATCAAAATACATCTTCTGATGATTATCTTGAACAGATAAGTAAAAATTTAATTCCAAAGTTAACATTCAGAAGGTTAAGTGTAGACCAATTAATTAATGGTGTTTTAGATCCACCACAAAATAAATGTGTAAGGAGAAAAAGCTTTAATGAATTAAGTTCTTCAAAAGATACTTTTTCCAATCATTTAAACAAAACTTCAAAGCTTTTATTAAGACAGAATCACTATGAAGATGATGATCATTCTGAAGAAGAAGTAAGTGTAAAAGAATCAAAACAAAACAGTCAAAAGTTAGGCAAACAAGAGAGAAGTTTTAGTTCAGGAAATGATCACTCAGAAGGTCTTAATTATATTACTGCACATAGAAAGAGTGAAGATAAAAGTAAATCTAATTTGCTCAGTTTATATCAAGATTCAAAACAAATTCAAAGTGGCAGAAGATCAAGTTATTCTAATGAAAATGAAGAATTTGTAAGACAAAGAAATAATCTGCATCCCTTATTGGGAAATTTACTTGCATCTAGTAGTTGGGAAAGTTGGTATAGTGGAACTAATCACAGGCAAATGAGAAGATTAAGTATGAGTGTGATTAACTCTAAACCATCAGATTTCTTAGAACAAATTCCAGAGAAACCAGAGCATCGCAGGTTAAGTTTATGTTTTCATAAAAGTACTTTTGAAGGAACTATTAACCACGAAGTACACAATTTAGATAAAGTTGAAAAAAGTAATTGCATTTCTAATGAAACTAACAAGGATATAAATCGTAAACAATTTCGTGTAGCTTTAACAAGATCTTTATCTTTAAATACTGTTCTTAATGATGAAAATAACAAAACAAATGATAAAAGTATTCAAATAACTCATAAAATTACTAATTATAATAGTAAATATAAAACTTTAAACAGTAAGGCAAGTTGCAGTACTTCTTTAAGTGATTCTGTTTTTGAAGAGAATAATTCAAGTGAATTTATACAAGATAATTTAGAAAAAAATAAATCAAAACAAACTGTAAATAAGTCACAAAAATTGAAAAGACATTCTGATGAAAATTCTACTCCACATATAATATTAACATCGTGGGAAAATGAAGAAATTGAATTGCAACCAGAAGAAATGAATAAAAATCCCTTTGGTATGAATTTGAATTTTAAATTCACAAACAATTTTTATTTTGATTTGCACTTATTATCAACTTTGATTTTCAGTTATTTGTTTGTATAATTCTAATTAATATTTGCATGCACAGACTCATTCAGTTGTTTTTCATCAGTTATTATTTTATAATAAATCTGATTTCACCTAAGAGTTAAAACACTTTAAAGATATAATATTTTTTTATTTATTAAAGCAGATAAATTTCTCATTTCAATATTATTTTAAAACATTTTTTCAACAATTTTATTTCTTTTCCTATATATTATTTGATTCTGACATTTTATTAAATATTAATTTTAATGTTTATTGAATCCATGTATTTTAGAGTCATCATCTCCACCTAAAAATAAAGTAAATCAACCTGCTGAAGCTTCTAAGAAGAAAGAATATTTATTACCTGAAGGTGGATCACTTGATGAAGACAGCTCAACTACTATAACAGATACTGAAGATGATAAAAAGTAATTTTAAAGTTTTTCAAAATAAATTCATATGTATATTTAATATTTAGATGAAGGAAGTAGCATATTCATTATATTCTTGAAAGGCATTACAATGGAAAATACAAGACAAATATATATGTATATACAGTAGTACCTCAGGATACGAACGCTTCAGCATATGAAATTTTCATGATACAACATGAAATTCGAACATATTTTTGCTCCACGGTACTGTGAGATCCGAAAGGCCCTGGGTCTATTTTATGAATTTTTATTGATTATATTAAATTATAGACACGAAATATTACTTCGTTTTGGTGAAAAAACTGGTGTTTTAGATGTGGAAAAACCAGATAACAGATGTTACTTCCTTTCACAGAAGAGAACATCCTCTGTTTTTCCGTATCTGGTTAAAAATCTCGCTCAGATGGGAAATGGTTACCCCTCATTCATCCCCCTTTCGTCCGTTCTCACGAAAGAGTTACTGGACGATGATTGGTCGAAATTCAGGAGATATAAGGGAAATTAGTCCAACTTTGGGGAGTTCTTCGAGAGATCCGAAGCATACAAACTCCACATACGTTTCCCTCCTGATGGCCAATGCCCTTAACGGAGTCAGAGAGACTAAGTCCCGAGTCTACACGTAAAAGTGATATTTTTATATTTTGTGCACGAATTGATCTCCCATATGAAAATAATATGAACTCTATCTACAAGGTGTCCTTTACCTACAGAAACGAAGACGACGACAACTAACAGGTCGTATGTTTAGAATAATTTTGTGAGCTCTCTCTCTCGAACGCGCATTAGCATAGATTAAGTCGTAGCCTCTAGTTTGTCGCTTAATTGTCGTTCATCGAATTTTTTGTATTCGTTTGTTTTAGATTTATTAAATTTACTCTTGTTTTATTTTATAAGAATACTCCTCAAGTTATTCCTAATCAGATCGCAAACGCGTGTTAATCCGCGTATAATAAGTTTGATTAACTGGTGTCAAGGAATCCTGACGAACATCTGAACTTCTTGTTCAGATCATTTTAAAATACGCTCTCCTATGTAAACTTTTTACGATCGGATCTTACGATTCGAAACTCGGAGAACTATTCTCACGGAATAGGCCGATTAAGTGGTACTAACGAATTAGTGTACCCCCGGNGAACTTCTCGTTCAGATCATTTTAAAATACGCTCTCCTATGTAAACTTTTTACGATCGGATCTTACGATTCGAAACTCGGAGAACTATTCTCACGGAATAGGCCGATTAAGTGGTACTAACAAATTAGTGTACCCCCGGCTGATCTCACAGTACGAACAAAAACTCACCATATGACGTTACATTAGTTTGCAGTGCCACCGCCATGATTACGTGTTCCTTCTGTTCATCTGTCTCAGTCCCGCGTGTTTCCTTCATTGTAGAAGGATCTTGCTCGATAAAGAAAATCTTGAGGTATTATCAGAAAATGACTGATTTTATTGAAAAGAAACATCCCGAAAAGGTTCACACTGGCCGTATTGCTGCTCAGTTTAATGACATTTGCCTAAGTCATTTTAGAAACATTTTAGAAAGTAGGCAAAACCTACTTTCTAAAGCCTACTACTTTTCCAAATATCTATCCTCTTTGGATAGATATTTTATCAAGTGACCTCTATCCAGTGAAAGTGCTGGTGGAAGTGAAGGAAAGAAAGCAAAAAGCAGTGAATAAAAAATTTAAAAATATATATAAAACAGAAAAGATAAAAAAAAATTAGTGTTATTTTTAAGTTATTGTTACATTATGTTTTGTAAATTAAGTTTTAGTATCATTTCCCTTCTCCCTCTCCTCTGCCACCAGTTTACACCTGCACTGTAGTCTATCCTGAAAGGTAAAGTGCAAATAAAACTACAATTTTTTTTATCAATTATTATTCTGTTATGGTTATTTATACATTTACAACTACAAAATGTATTTTTCGATGTTTTCCTTACAAAAGTTTTTTTTTCAATGTACTACTTAGCTTTAATTTGAATGTGTTTTTTATTTTGGAATGGATTATTTGGTTTTACATGTAATCATATGGGTAAAAAATGATTCACCTTACGACATTTTCACGATATGATCTCAGTTTAGGAATGGATTAATTTCGTATCCTGAGGTACTATTGTATTTATATTTAGAAGCAAATTACTTTGGCTTTTATTGTTGGTGAAACCATCTTATAATAAGCTTGGTCGAGCTGATCTGATAGTATACTCCACAAAAGTGAATCAAATATTAATTTTGTCTAAAATAAATTTTATAAATTCTTGGAATCAAGTAGTTGTTGTGCATGCACATGGACATGCACAATAAATGGATTGAATGGAACATAACACTTGTGCAATGTGACTTCACTTTCGTTACCTATGTGCATGGTCATCTGACAGATGGACAAAAGTCCTAACATAAGCACTTTACCACTATAGTGGAGTGTGCTAGAAAAAAACTATTCATTATAACAAAAAATTAAAGAAAGTTAATTTAAAAGCAATTTTAAATAAATTAAATATAGCATATATGTAATATTTACATAAAATCAATTATTTTCACACTTCCAGAGAGAAGTTTAAGATATAAATGAACAAATGTTTTTGATTTATTTCATAAACATGCTTCCATCATGGAATTTTAAAGCATTGTATTTTTTAATACTAAACCTGAAGCAGAATCAGGTTTAGTATTTTTGAATACTAAACCTGAAACAGATCTTGTGATGTTTAAAAATTTTTTTGTTGCATTTTGGTTTGTAATCCATCAAGTTTTTGAATGTTGTAGAGTCTACATGACTATTTAATTTGTCTGTAATTGTCCAAAAAAGTGAAATAAGTCTGGTTTACCAAAACAGGTCTTGTATGTTTTCATTTGTCATAAATCACTCTTTTTATAAACTTTGTGGTCCTTGAGCTACCTCTAAATATTAATATATCAAGTTCAAATTTCTTCTATAGTAATTTGAGACCATTTGGAATAGTTCTGGAGGATAGGACCACAAAAAAGTAAGCAATTTATTTATTTTTTCCCCTATTTTAAGCACCACCCTATTATTTATTTATCATATACTAGCAGACCCCACCACGCATTGTTGTGGCTCAAAATGTATCTATTATAAATGTATAACACTTCCCCCATGGGGGAAATTTTTCGAAAAATTTCTTCTTAGTGTACATTCTCTTGACGTACCCTATTAAAACGCAATCAAAAACGCAAAAAACTGCATCTAAAATAGCATAAATAGAAGCAGAGTTCTTTACGATAAGCCTTAATCCTAATCATCTCCCTTCAGTGGGAGGAATTTCGACATGTATATTATATAAAAACATGTGCGTATTCGAATGCAGCATTGTGTCAAAATTTCAAAGGAATCGGTAGGAACAAACGAACATTACATTTTTATTTATATAGATAGATAGAAGATGATCTGCTTTAGTACATTTTCACAGAAAAGCATAATGCCTCACAGAAAAGCAAACTTAGGGCGTCGTACTCGTAGCGCCATCTGTTGGACAAAAAAGCCTTAACCTAGATTATATATTTTAATTTATATGAATGTTTAACGGAATAATATACAGTCTATGTCCACCCTGAGGTTCCATTCTAAATATTGGTGAAAGAATTTTTGAAATTGGATGAGTAGTTTCAGAGATTACCTGCTGCAAACAAACTTACTTACATACATACAAATATTACCTCTTTATAATATTAGTATAGATTAATAAAAGTTAATGTATTAAAATAATTAAAATCCTTTATTTCATGTTTAATGATGTTTATAAATATTGAACAAGAATTAGAAATTAATTTTAATAAAATAATTAATAATTGTTTTAGGAAAGTAAATGAAGTACATTTAGATCCAAATGAAGAACGAGATGATACATTGTCTATAAGTACAGATGAAGACCTGTTTCTGGAAGAAGTTTGTGAAAAGAATGAATCTGTACATCAACATAGTATATGTAAGTACTAACATTAAATATTAAATACAAAAATATTTTATGAAAAAGTTTTTAATACTGTTGGGATATTAAAATTTATATCCTATTTAAGTCTCTAAAATTTGTATTATACAAATTTTGTAATATTTGTGATTTTTTTTTATTGTGAGAAGCCAGGGGGTTGATTAATATTGGTTTAACCTGTCCCGTGTTGTTACCGAGTATTTTCATGTTGACCTCATTTGACCTAACTTATTGACCCCGAATATACTCGTTTCTGCATCGGAATGTTTTAGATACTAGATGTTGCTGTGTCATAATTTTTATATTAAAACAAACTTTCAAAATATAATTTTTTTTGTTTTTATATTTATTAATATATCTATTTTGTTTGTGAAAAATAAAAAAATAATTTTGGATGATAAAATAACCACAATTACTTTTTTAAAAAAGTGTAATTTTCGTTAGGCTTAACGTCAACAAAATTCAACATCGCGTCACAGGCAACGGAGAAGAATTTCAACATCAGATAGGTTAAACCCCTTTTGATCAGTGACAGTCTGATGAAGACCACTCACTGTGTCACTGGATGGCTATTAAATATAGTTGTCTCTAGATTGTTAGCTCTTGAGGACGGTTTTTCCTGACACCAGTTAGGATAGTTGGAATTCATGTCCTAACTCACAATTATGTGAAATTATCGGCAAATAGGAGGGCTATAAGTTGAGTGGGGAGGTTGCGGTTAAGTTGATAGGGGACCAGTTCGAATAATTGAGGTCAACAAGGTCAACACCAGATTAACTAAACAAATAAATTTAATATGCAAATAAAGGCCTTCTGTTTAAATTAAGAATCATTCAATGGCTATTTTCCTGATGAAGGCATTTCAAAACAGCCAAAAACGTTTGATAATTTGAGCTAAAGGATGCATTATAAAGGTTTTTTGTGTTGATTAATTAAGTGCAGTTAAAGAAGAAGGTAAAGTATAGAATACAATAATCAGCTACAATTACAGTTATATGCACGAACAAGCACATGTATATAAGATCCGATATCTGTTGGATCAACCCTTTGGACTATATATGAACTCTAATTTTATTTCTACATCAACCAAGAGATAGAGTTTACATAAATCGAGTAATTATCATACCTCTTTACAGTAGTGGCCATAGTCTAGGCAGTAAATTACTCAGGGAGGCCTGGGAAAACACTGGCACAATTTACAAAGTTAAAGATATTTTTTAGGGACTGATCATGTTGGAGTTAGTGGACACCTGGTCTATGGGGAAATCTATCTTGAATATGGCAGGAAGGAAGTCTTGGTACTCCTACGGTGAAATCCACCCAGGAGATTGGGTGTGCACCCATTATATCCCCAGTGTGGGAATTTCGTCAGGTGATTCAATGTTTGGTCATGATGACACTCTGAATGTGTCATTGGTGAGCTGGCTAGGGTGGTGAGAATTGGACTTGTTGTTCTCTTTTTGTTGTTGAATTATTTAACTTTTGATTTTTTCACGTGTCAATAATAATTTGTTATAGCTTTGATCTGAGAGAGTTTTGAAATAATGAGAGGGGAAGGAACTTGTTGCATCCAAGACTAGTCGATTGTTGACAGTTAAAATAACATTTGATCTTCTCCCATTTTTAACTTTGGGAACCAGATGGGAATAAAGAAACTCGTCTTTTGGGTTAAAACTTATAGAAAAACAGTTCCCTAATTCTCACAGCTTTCACTGTTGTTTATTATGATTATTTTTAAAAGCTGCTGATGATACTATTAATCAGTGTTAGTTTTACTATTTGCATTATTATGTATTAAATAGATTGCTTAAAAAAGATCAAAATATATTTTAAGAATTTAAAATTCTTTAAATTTTATATTTTTATTCTTTGAGTTTTACTTATTATAATGGGTTAGAAAATAATTTAGGTTTTTTTCAGCACCAAGTCAGTTAGCAAGTCTTCAAGGTTCATTACGAGAACATAGATTGACAGTAAATAAAAAGAGTCAAAAAATTAAATCTTTAAAGAATCAGTTGAAAGCTATTCAACACGAAAAAATACAGATACAAGAGTAAGTCCTTGTCAATATTTCATTTAATGTATTTAACAAAGATGTTGCTGCACTTATAAATATTACTAATATAAAAACTGTCATTTGTGTGTGTGTGTGTGAATTCCTTAAAATGCCTGCAATTTTTGCCCAATTCAGATGAAATTTTGGTTATATTCATTTTATATTCTGGTGGAAAGTATAGGCTACTTATTTTGCAGAAATATTAGCTATAGAATAAATGTTTTATCAATATTGGATCAGTGATTACACTTACGTTGCAGTGACATCAGTGATCTCATTTAGTATGTGCTTGACGAAGGAATTTCCCTTAAGTTGCATTTTAAAATATTTTGGCAAATGACATATTTTAAACTTACTTCATTAAATTTAAAATTTAAACTTTAAAAATGATAACCACATCATGTCACTTCTATAACAAATTTTTGAAAAAAATCTTTCCATAATGAACATGTGACATTCTATTATCCAGTCAGAAGTAACAATCTAATGAGTCTGTTATTTAGAAAGTGTTACTGCTAATCTAATTAACATACTTACAATTTATCTTTGTTTTATCATTGTGGAATTAAATAGACTAGCTATTTTGTCAGAAAAAAAATGCGTAAGGGAAAGCATAAGAGTAAAATTGTTCAACTCTATGTTGCTTTATCCCATTCAAGAAATCAAAACAATGTTAAGGTGTCTATTACTAAAGGAAGACAGCAAGGAAACCTTTTAAAAGACAATAGTGTGTGTACTCGGAATGTAGTGTATAAAAAAATATTTTAATATGTTTTTTAATATAAAGATCATCATCTGTTTGTGTGTGTATGTGTAAGTGAATTATTTATGATTCCTACTATTTTGTCTGCTTTAGGTGAAATTTGGTTTTGTTGCTCCTTATGTTACAACATATAGTATAAACTGACAGCCAGATGGCTGAGTGGTCAAGGTGGCAGCTTACCACTCTGGGGACCCAGGATCGAATCCAGACGAGTCAAATAATCCACTGGAATTTTTCAGGGGTAGTCTGTCTGGATATGTCAGGCCCTGTCCCTCACCACCCGGTCGCTCCATTGTGGGCCTGGCTGTACCCATAATGGGCTTGCAAAAAAGAGGCCCTCTTAGTGCTTACAGGACAGAAAGAGTTAAAAAAAAAATAAAAAAAAATAAAGATAGTATAAACTACTTAATTTGCAGAAGTATTAGCAACTTTTCTTGAATTTCTTGAAATCTCTAATCTTCTCAATTCTACTTTCTCATAAAAAGTATTCCGTCATGCTTGACGGAGGAATTTTTAGTAATTTAATATAATTGCAACAAGCATGTCAAGTAAAATTTTTTTAATTTTAAAAAGTTTAGTAAATTGATTTTTACAATAAAAGGTTTTTTCATTGTTTTCTGTTAATTACAAATGAAATATTCAAAAATAATTCTGACTTTTCAGAATTTTCCATCATGATACTATTATAAAAAAGAAAAGCTTCTATACAATTTACTTTTTATAGAAACATTTCTTGTTTTAATAACATCACAATATGAACAGAAACTGAAAAAGTCAGTTAATAAAAGGATTTATACTTCCTGAAGATTTATAAAATGAATTTTGGTTTCCTTGGAGATGTGTGAGTGCATTTTAGTTTGGCATTATGTTTTTCATCTGGAATTTGAATTTTTTTCAGTTTGTATGGTTTACTGTGTTATAATTAATTTAACTTGAATATTATTTTTGTCATTACAAGTGTAGTGTTCAGCACAATGAGAATAAGAAACAGATATAACATAAAAAACAAAACTTTATTTTTTTACAGTATGAACAGGGTTCCTATGCACCTTGAAAGTCAGGGATTTACATTAGTGTTCTGAAAAGTCATGGAAAGTCAGGGAATTTGTTAAAAATTGTCAAAAAGTCAAGAAAAGTCAGGGAATTTGTTTCCTTGGTTGCCTTGTTGATTTTGTTTGCTGACAGCATGACTGACCAAGTGTAGCTGTCTGCAGACAGCCAGAAGTATTGTGGTACAATGCAACTATGAAAAGGGAGCGCAGAATATTTTTAGGATCCAAAAATTTCCCCAAAATTATAGCACACAAAATATACAAGCATACAACAATATCAATTGTTATTTTTAAATTTTAAAATACTTTTAGATTTTAAAACTGTTGTATTAATTATGCAGTATTATAATTTTGAGAGAAAAATCTAATACTCTTAATAATCTAATGGTGATAAAAAAATTTTTGAAATATTTTAACTTTCTATCTCTTGCAATTTGCACTTTCAATTTGAGGGAAGATGTTAATGAACTGATGGAAAAAAATGATAACAAAGAACCAAAAATGATAAATAACTTAATATTAATTCAAATGGTATTATTTATCATTTTTCATTTTAATAATATTGATCNCCTAAAATTATAGCACACAAAATATACAAGCATACAAGAATATCAATTGTTATTTTTCAAATTTAAAATACTTTTAGATTTTAAAACTGCTGTATTAATTATGCAGTATTATAAGTTTGAGAGAAAAATCTAATACTCTTAATAATCTAATGTTGATAAAAAATTTTTGAAATATTTTAACTTTCTATCTCTTGCAATTTACACTTTCAATTTGAGGGAAGATGTTAATGAACTGATGAAAAAAAATAACAACAAACCAAAAATGATAACTTAATATTAATTTAAATGGTATTATTTATCATTTTTCATTTTAATAATATTGATCACATAACAAAACAATTTCTGATTTCTGAAACTTTTTCCCAGTTTATTAATATTTTATAAAGTTTGGAAAATTTATTAAAGAACAAATTTAATAAATTTATACTTTTCTACATGGATTATACTGAATTCTTTTAATAATAAGTAACAGCTTTTTTCTTTTTTTCAAAGCTATGAAGTCTTACAGTTATGAGTTAATAACAGGATAAATTATTATTTAATAAAACATTTTAGTTTTTTGTAGAGAAGATATGCCATAATTTTGTCTTTCTTATTTTATTTTTGATTTTACTAATTCATCGATCATAAAAAATATATAACTGTTAATTAGAAAAAATAATCAGTTAAAAAGTTGGAGAAGCACTAACGTATGTGCATAGTAAGTTGAGTAATGTTTTATTTTGTTAATGTGCTGCCATACTGTAAGGAACATGAGGGTTAGGGAATTTACACAAAGTTGGTCAGAGAAAGTCAAGGAATTTAAAACAAAAATTCAATTAGGAACCCTGTATGAACACAAAAAAAGATCAGGTTTCAACTCTGGTGTGTTGTTAGTGAATACTTTTATACAACAGTATAGTACAATCAAGAACATTACACAAAAGGACCTTCTCAACCACTTTTTGGGATCCACATATGTGGGGTTCAAATCACAAAAGTATACACAAAGATCAGCTGCACTTAAAAACTACTTTACAAACTATATTTTTACTCTAATTAATGCTAAAAGAAGGAAGAGATGTTAGATAGAGAGATATAGATTTATGAAGAAAGAAGTCTTAGAAAAGGAGTACTCGTTGCTTCATGTATCACAATGAAACCATCCAAATATACCTTTGTAGTTTTCCTGGATTTCACAGGTATATTTATTTTCTTTCTTAGTTGTCACTAGTTTTTTTTTTTTTTTTTTGATCTTTCAAAAGAGATTTTCCATTTAGACTCTCAGGACTCACCAGCACTTTCTGTACCGACTGTATATCTTAGTGGTCATACCCTGTCAATTCTCACACTACTCAAAGCCTTCCTTGGGAACTTGACCAAAAAGTGCTGACTACACTGATGTTTCCCTCAGAGCCTTCTCCACTCTATTATCTAATGCTCACACCCACAGAAGTAGGGCAAGGGTGGAAAGTTCTCAAGCTTGGAAACAAAGGAAAATCAAGAACAAAAGGAATAGGCTAGGAAAGAGAAGTGATAGAAAATAAAAATAACTTAAAAACTATACATGAATAAATGGCATCATGCCATACAAGAATATATCATTAAACTGTTTAATAAATTACCAAATAATTCCAACAATAAAAGTAATATAAAGTTTTTTTGAATATTTCATTTGTACAAATTATAAAAATTACTTTGTATAGAAGCACTTCTTGTTACTTTTAGATAAATACAAACATAATGTAAGCAAACCAAAAGAATTGATATAATTTTCAAATATTCATCTGAATAAAACAATGTTTGTTTTATCATTATATAGAATAATAATGTAAAGAATCAATTTAATTATTTGAAACATCATTTATACATTTCAAAACATATCTGTTGTGTTGCATATCTCAAGGATTATTCATTGTAGTGAAATATAGTCTATTAACTTTCTCCAAAATTTAGTTTCCTAATTGTCATTTCTCCAAATAATATACTCTAATTTTAATTAATACTTGAGTGATGCAATCAACTTATTTTATGCGGTAAAATGTGGTAATATGCTATGAATTTTTAACATTTTACAAAATTATTATGAAAATTTTAACATTATGCAATTATTTTGTAAATATTTTAATTCATATTTGGATAATACAGTAGAGCATCATTTATCCGAAAGTCGGTTATCCGAAAGAATTCCAGTTGGCAAATTTAAATTTTCGCTAGTGCTGTGGCGCTGCAATCTTTGGCTATTTCTTGGGCTACTCAAATATTTTACGTTTTTGATACTAAATTAACTTCTGAAGTATAATTTTTTTATTGTTTTTATATTTTTAAATATATTTATTTTGTTTGTACAAAATAAAGAAATAATTTTTAACGATATAATAGCCACGATTATTATTTTAAAAAGTTTATGTTAGGCTTAACATTAACGAAAATTCAACGCAAAGCGACACGCAACGGAGAAAAATTTCAACACGGGATAGGTTAATATATTTTTTCGTACATAATCGGTTATCCGAAAAATAAGTTATCCGAACAACCCCAGTCCCCAATTGATTCGGATAAACGACGCTCTACTGTAGTTGATAATTAGAATGTAAAATTATGACAGGTCTTAAATGAAGTGAATCCTTTTTCTTACATTAATTATTCCAAAAATTACATTTCATTTTTTTACAATTGCAATATGAATAAAGAGGACGATAGGATTTAAAGATGTGGAAATCAGATAAGTAAGATTTAGGAAACAAACCTTGATCAAAAAATACATTTAATGACATTTTTCTGTTAAAGTACTCAGAAAAGTTTTCCTTCTTATAAAAATGTCATCTGTTTTTTGAAAAGTAAAAACATTCTGAATTCATTTTGTCCACTTACCTATTATCTGACTTTGTTAGCTATAACTGACAAGACAAAACATTAGAGATACCAGTTTAAATTGGCTTGGGCCATCTCTAGCCCAGATAACAGCCTGAGTTGGTCTAGATATAGATTCCACAAGATATTGGACTGTTACTGAAGGTATCTCAAACCAAACTTTCTCTGTCATGGTCCACAACTCCATTGTAGATATAGGACCAGAGTCTGAGACCATGTGGACTTCTCAATGATATCCTACAGAACATCACTAGAGTTGATATCTGGGAATTTAGCTGGTCACTAGAGTCAGAAGAATACTCCTTCAACTATTTTGGGTTAGAGGGTCATTGGCAGCTTGATTTGGAGGAGCATTATCCACTGAAGCATGCTATCTCTTGCAGGATGCATGAAGGTGATGAATGATTGTAGATGGCCAGCAAATAAAATCTAGCATCTAAAATAGAATCTAAAATAGTAGCATGCAGTGGTTAATAACCTCTCTAGATGCAATAAAGAACCTAAAGTGGGGTTTTCAAAGTGGGTGCTATTGTCCTGTGGGCAGGAGTAAGTCTAGGGAGCAAAAAGAAGCAAGTGGGCAGCAGATGATTGCTGGATGCAGGATACTGACTGACTGATGACCATAGGCGAGGGTTGGAGTCACTGAGAATCTTATCCTTTTCTCTGTTAAAATGGATAAGAAGAAACATTGCATTTAATGATTTCAGATGTGGAGAACTATGTATGTTAAGGTTACAAAGTGTGAGGCCCATAGAAAAGTTTTTCTAAGAATATTTCCAAGCCTTTCTCACACAAGGAAAAATGGGTTGGGGGCATTAGGGTATGGTCAGAAGGCCTTGGGTAAAAGTTTACAAAACCAAGGCAGTGGCTTGAAAAATTTTGGGAATCACTGACCTAAAGTGTGTTCCATGAGAAAGTTCACACCATTACAGAGCCACTACCTCCTTGAACAGTGCCAACCTGATAGGATGGGTCCATGGCTTCATCTATTCATGCCATATCTGCAACAGTCTATCCATGCAATGAATCTGGAAACATGATTTATCAGATCCTATGACTCTACACCACTCAGTAACAGTCCAGTTGCAATGTTCTTAGCCACATGCTAGCCACAAGTGACAATGTTTTGCAATCAACAGTAGCTCATGGGTAGGAGGATGCACAATTAGCACTGCTACAAATTGAGCTGCTGTTGCTCATCAGTTCTCTCTCTCAATCTGAGATAGTCTATGTCCACTACAGTTATTAATGGCTTGTGACTTGCCTCTGTTTGCTTGCTGAGCACTGGTGCTGCTTTCAATGATATACTGCCATTGTTTTTAAAAATATTAGAGTTGCTACCACTTGGGAGAGTGAATGCCCCATCTGCATAGAACCAATGATCAAAATCAGAAATGTCAGCTTGTCTACCCATCTTGGTCACTTTTTATGCACTATCACAAAGCTGAGATTTATGCTTATTTATATTAACAGAATGATTTGAATATACTCATCTGTATAAGGAGGGTAGGCAGTATATCTCCACAGCTTCCTGTTTAATGTTTTCTCTTGTCAGTTTATATGAACATATCTAAGAAAAATTATTTATTTATACAGGATGCTCCATTTGGGTGGAATAATTGAAAGCTGAGTCATGTCATAATAAACACATTAATTGTATGAAGTTCAAATTCCTGTCACAATAGTGAAATAAGATGGGAGTTTCATTGGGTACTTTTGTCACACAACAAAAGTGAAAATGGCACCAGCCATCATGGAGCAATGCACTATGTCCTTTGATATGCATAATTTGAGAGTATGACAGCTGTTAAACATGGATTTCGTATATTAATACAGTATATAACTTAAATATGATGTGGTTTTACCAATATATTTAATTGATTCAATTTAAAACAATTGAAATGTTAGATAAACCTATTTTTCAATAAAATAACTTATAAAAGAGTTTTGAAATGTTTCTTTACCAATTTTTTAAATTAAATAATATATTAACATATTTTATTAGTGCAGATATATCAATATATTGATATATGCTATATATTAACATTTTCATTATGATACAATGTCATCGATGGATTTTTATTAATATATAATATATTATGAAAGTGTTATTTTTTTAAATAAAAAATATATGACTTACAAAATGTTTTTTTTTAAAATTTACTATGTATTTAAAGTATTTAAAATAACATACAACAATTTATGTAATATATAATAAAAGTAATAGCTTTAAAATATTATTTAAATTATATTTGTAATAAATTCAATTTTTGAAAAATGTGATACTCTAAAAGCAAATGTGAAATTAATATAAGAAAATGTGTTAAAAATTATTTTTGATGTTAAATTATTATTACTGTATTTCAAATTTTTTCTGTCTTGATTTACATGGTATTTCTCAATATTATGTGTCTCAGTGGTATAAGTTTGTACAGGAAAGTTGTTTCAATTTACTTATAATTTTTTAACCTTTTACTTATAAACCTTTTTAACAATATTTTTTTTTTCTGAAAATTCAAGGAAAGTCAATATAGATTTAGCAGGTTTTGAAAATAAATTCTGCAATTATCTATTCGGAAAATTATACAAAATTATGCCAAAAGATACACTAATTTAATAAAGTGTATTTTTACTATGAATTTTCATAATTTTGTTTTCTATTTTCTAATTTTATATTTATAGAAAAATAGAAAAAATGAGTTCCAGTAATTCAGCTTTAAGAAATAATATTTTGGAAATGAAAAACCAATTAACAAGTTTACAGTAAGTAGTAAATATAAATATTTTTAAACTGAACATTTTTTCATTTTTTTAATTGATGATAGATATTTAGCTATAATGTAACTTAGTTAAATGATGATAACTAAGTAGAGTGTGTACATTATCAGAATCAGATCACTTCCTCTATACTTTTTCTCAGAAAAATTGAGAAAAATTTATATAAAATGATGATGTCTAGAATTTAATTCTGATATAAGGAAGATTGTTAGGATCTAATGTTTAAAAAATAAAATTTTAAAGCATACACTGATGTTTTTTATAAATTTAATATTGAAATAATGTTAACACTGACATATTTTGAAATGATGGTTTTAGAAAATTTAAATTTTTAGTTTTAAAAGTCAGTTTTAAATAAATTTTACTGTTATCGTTATGTTATATGATTTTATTATGTGATGTCTAAAAAGCTATATACAGTAAAGTGTCGATTATCCGAAAGTCAATTAACTGAAACATCAATTATCTGAAAGAATTCCAGTCGGCAAATTTTAATTTTTGCCAGTACTGTGACGCTGCAATCTTTGGCTATGTCTTGGACTACTCGAATATTTTACGTTTTTGATACTAAATTAACTTCGGAAGTATAATTTTTTATTGTTTTTATATTTTTCAATATATTTATTTTGTTTGTACAAAATAAAAAAATAATTTTTAACGATACAATAGTCTTCGTTAGGCTTAACATCGACGAAAATTCAACGCGAAGCGACACGCAACGAAGAAAAATTTCAACATGGGATAAATTAATATATTTTTTCGTACA